TTCTCCATCCAGAGAGGCCTTGTGGGCCAAACGGGCCATCATGCCAGGTTAGGCTTAAGGCTGGGAACCTTCTGGTCCCTGACATAGTGCTATTGAATTGGGAATCAGGACGCTTGCAAAGTTGTGAGTTCAGAAGTGTGGGAATTGGTGGGATCGAGTTAAATTGGAACAGCTGGTTTCTGGTTTCTTGGGTGCGCCGTGCCAAGTGAGGATTGAGGAATTGCGGGGAGCTGAGAGCCAGATCTTTATTGATACCACAGCAATAACTGGGCTCATCTCCTGCAACCCTTTCGGATCCCTAACTGTACCATAAACTATTTGTTCGTTCCTTCTAAGGCAGAGATTTTCTTGAATATTTTCCCCTCCAGGCTGGGGCTCTCTTCTTGGCAGAGTTCCGGAGGCATCTAGTGGCTGGTGCTCCTCTCCGTTACAAAGCCGAAGAAGAGCCAGCGCTGTCCGAAGACGTCTCCGTGGTCATGTGGCCGGCAGGACTACACGCCTTCGAAGGTGCATAGAACGCTGTTCCCTTCCCACCAAAGGGGTCCCTATTTTTCTAGTTTCATTTTTGTTTTTTTTACGTGCTTTCGAACTGCTACGTTGGCAGAAGCTGGGACCAAGGAAGGGGAGCTCATTCCGTGATGTGGCGCTGGGGATTCGAACCGCCGGACTGCCAACTTTCTGACTGACAAGCTCAGCGTTCTTAGCCACTGAGCCACCGCATAACCCGAGCCATCAGAACATTTTAAAAAGGGATACAGGGAAACCCAACAGCCTCGTCACATAGAAGGAGACTGCCCCAAAATATAATTCAGCATTTGGAAGGTGTGGGATTGTTGTCGTTGTCCAGGGCAGGAAAACTGACTGGTCCAAGGCTGAGAATTTAAGAGTCTCCTCCATATTTCGAATTGTTAAACTGAGAGTGTCACTGGATTAAAAATCATTGGGGGGCGGGGGTGGGGGAAGCTATACTGATAGATGAGAAAAAACTCAAGAAGGGCATAATCCAACAAATCTGAGCCACAGGTCGCGCAATCTCCCAAAATGTGCATAGGCCAACTCCTAAACTTATGATTGTCAAATTAGCAACAAAGAGGTGGGGACTTCAACTCCTAGACTTCCTAGCCAGCCTGAAGTCCACG